TCACAGAAAACGCTGAGCCGTCAGAGCTGAAGCAGTTCTTCGACGTGAACTGCTCCCACGTCTACTATGTGTTCTTTGAGAACTTTGTTACCATTGAGGTCAGCCTCAAGCAAAAAGGTACGTTTTACTGCACCGTCGACCGGACGCTCTGATTGGTCCGCTTTCACAGTGGTGCAAATAAGACATTTCAGTTCGCCCCGTCCCGCTGCTGCTGTTCTAAACCCGTCCATGTGTTTCAGGTCACAAGTCTCAGAGGGAGGAGCTGGACTCTATTCTCTTCATCTTTGAGGTAAGATGTAATGTCATATTTCATAAAGTATCAGTAAATCCAGAGGAAGTCTCGCCAGAGCGGTGATGCGTAACCGCACTGGAACGAACGCACTGACGTGATGTGGATTCCACCAGCTCCGGCTCACCGTAGGGGGTCTCTGTCGGTGCCACAGCACCAAAGAGCACTGGCATGCAGCAGACCTGCGGTCACGGGTGCTTGGAGCAGCGGGGATGAGATAGCAGTCAGTATGCGTTGGTTTGCTGACCTCCAGTTGGCCCCAAGCACTTAAAATACCGAGCCAGGCTTGGCAGAGCACAAGCGCAGTGAGGACTTGGACAAAAGCAGGTGCCAAATCCAGGCCTGGCAGGTGTTAGTTGGAATAAGGGTGGACAGAGTTATTGAATTATTGATTTCTTATCATACTCACTTCAATTTTTTCACTTAGCAGTTTTTCATCTGATCCAGTTGAACTAACTATCTAATAAAGTGGAACCATTAATCATCATTCTTTTTGATTCTCTCACATTGGCGTAAACGTCTTTTCAGGCAGTGCCAAATTCAACTCCAGGCGGGAAAACTCCCCCTTGATAAAATCAGCTCCAAACAGAATGGTCCCAAGTATCTAATTATTATTATTTTTTCTTACTCCAGAAAATCCTGCAGCTGCTGCCAGAGAGAATCCAGTGCCGATGGCAGTTCCACAGCATCGGTAAAAGCCCAAACTGCGCCTCTTTCCTGACACCCGTCTGTGCGTTGAATCAGGTTGACTTGGCTGACATGTGTTTCTCTCTCAGGGCTGATTCTGAAAAAGCTGCTGCACACGGGGAACTCTCTGAAGGTACCGTGTCTGTGTTACCTCTCCCTCCTAGCCCTTGGATCCCAATCCTCCAGCGTCTTCCTAATTTCATTTATTTTAACTCGAGAAAAAGCGTCCAGCGGCATGTACTGATTTGGCTTCTCTTCACGCTTCTTCTCCCTGGTGTAGATCCGTCGGGAAGGCGTGCGCCTCTTCCTGCTGTGGATGCAAGCGCTGCAGAGAAACGCGGCCCGAGAGCAGCTCTGCATGTTCGCCTGTTTGATCCCCGGCTTCCCGGCTCCGCTCTCCCAAGGGACCCCGCGCACCCTGGACACTCTGATCAACCCTGTGCTCAGTTTAACAGAGAGTTAGTAGCAGAAACACACTCACACTCGCACACATACACAGTGGAGTTTGACTTATAACTGGGTTCAGCTAACATACAAAAAAAGAAATGCTCAGAGATGAGATCAATGACCTCATACATTCTATATCTTCTATGTATACATAGAGCAGACATGTGACAACATGATTGCCAGCATTCATTGTCATGCAAACACTAAATGTCCCCCAACAGCTCAGGTCACCCCAGAGGAGATCACGCCATTGGTTCCTCCCCAGTCAGGTGACAAGAACCAGGAAGACCTCACTGCATACTTTTTGGAAGCGCTGCTCAAATACATGGTAAACCAGGTATTATCATCATTCCTTACTAACACCTTTACAAATGCTGTGATGCTGACTAATGTGTAAACATACGGGAGAAACCAGACATGAGAATTTACCCTCAATACCACATGTAGAAACTCGATGAAGTATGCGTCTAATCATTTACTGATCACTAATCACTAATCACTAACCCAAATACAAACGCCCCCCTTTATTGATACAAACAGACCTTGTTCTTGCATATATATATATATATATTTTTTTTTGCTGCCATCACACACACATCGATATGTAAAAGGAGACACTGATAACACCCTCCCTTGGAAAACAATGGGGCTCCTCTCCGCTTGACCCTTTTTTGTGTGTGCAATGCTCTCTTTATAACACGAGCTTGTTTGTCTTTCTGTGTGTGTGTGTGTGTGTGTGTTTGTATCCATCCACCAGGCCAAGTCGCTAGAGTGGCGTTGTAAAGAGAACCACGAACGTGGCTTCAGCTTCCTCTTTGCTCACTTCAAGAAGTTTTACCTTCCTCACATCTTTCCCAACTTCTCTATGGAGACCAGCCTCTACAACCCAATACTGGGTCAGTAACATTTAGCCAGAATCAATCCTATTGATCACTATGACCCCAGACGAGTAATACCCCCCCTTCCCCCTCCCCCTGGCAGACGTGCCCCCGATGCGTCCCAGGCCCTACTACGGTGTGGTTCGCAGGGAGCAAGACGGCAGTGAAGCGGTGTACTGCACCAAAGAGAGCTTCCTTCAGGGGCGGGTCATCTTCATCCGCTGGCTGGTTTCCTTCTGGCTGGAGCCGCGGCCCAACGCGCAGATCCCCGGAACAGAGGGCGAGAACGTCCCCAAGAACATACAGGTCAGCGCATACAGGTTTTCCTCGTGGACGGGGGATGCCGAGATTGGTTCATGTCTCCGTGTACGGATTTGTATTGACATCACTGCCCACCCCCCAGCGAGCAGCAGCCGGACTGGCGGCTCGCTCCGCCGGCAGCTCAGACGACAGCGACATCCACTTCGAAGGCAGCGGCGGCTTATCGGGTTCAGGCGGGGGCGGCATGGGGCTGTCTGGTGGTCCGGAGGCCGAGCAGAGCCACTCCAACACGTCCACGCTGACGGAGCGGGAGCCCAGCTCCTCCTCCCTCTGCTCCATGGACGAAGAGCAGCTCACGGACATGGAGGTGGTGAGGAGAGTGCTGACCAACTCCAGAACCAACGTCAACTTCATCACTGAGATCTTTAGACAGGTAAAGGAAAAAACGCTTTTGGGGATCAGTGGGGGTGTTATGTACCTGCCTGTGGGTCATTTGGAGCCGAAGCTGTTCGGTCCGTCTTTGCTTTCTTTGATCTATTGCTGCTTTGATTAGTTAGTTTGGATATTATTGCGCTACGTTTGTGTATTGTGTAAGGGTTAGTTCCGATTCACCATGTCTCAAGATAAATAACGAACTGATGGAGGCAGCCGGAGGCCCCCACCTCTGTGTTCTGCAAAGTAAAATGACGCTTTCTTGTGACTTTGAAGAAGCATTAGAATTTGACACGGTTTGTTGCACACACAAAGAATTTTAATTGGTAATCGCTGCGTGACGAAAGACACAGAGTAATCGCAACATAATAAAAATGTCAAAATGTCAAAAATCAGAACCATCCCTTGTAATATGAGGTTGTGTCTGGAGTTGGGATCCAGGTGGTATTTCTTAATATTATATTTGATTGATTTTATTTTTTAAGTTGGCTATTCACGTTTCACGGCGGCCCTCTTCATCTACCCGCAGGCATTTCTCCTTCCCATGTGCAAGGCTGCGGCGATGCGTAAGGTGGTGCGTGTTTACCAGGAGTGGATCTCCATGGAGGACCGGCCGGTGTTCATGAAGGAGCCGGAGGAGGGCCCGTATCCCACAACTAGCAGCCTGGATTCAGGGTCGCAGCGCGGGGACAAGGAGGACGAGGTGAGGAATTACCTGAAGTCAGTGAAATGACCCCGTCGTGTTTAAGATGACGGGCGGATCTCAACAGTTCTTTGTATACAGTCATTTGTTATGTTTAATTACCACACTAATTATACTGTGTTTTTTTTTGTCCTTTTGTCTTCCTCATGGAACGAGTAAGGCGGTTGACAGTGAATTGATGGAGTACAGCGTTCAAGCCGGAGTTCAGACCACACTACAGGTTTAGTCCTCCCACCTCTCTTTCCATTTCATACATCCACACAAAGGTCGTCCTCTCACTCTCCTTACTTCACCTGCTGGAATCGCTGCAGAAGAGATTTTTAATCCCAACCTCTTGTCCCCCCCCGCAGGTATTTATCACCCACTCCTCCAACGTGTTCCTGCTGGAGCCCGCCAACGACATCAAGATCCTTTTGGAGGAGCACGTGGACATGTGCAAGCGAGTCCTGAACATCTACCGCAGCCTCGTCATGCACGAGACCATGGACCAGAAGACCTGGTGAGGAAGAACAACCAACCAACAAAGCAGACGCTCCGAAGTACATTTCTGTGGCATCATGCCGTCATAGGCTGCTTTTCTTAATGTGTTTGTCTACAGGGAGCAGGTCCTGCTGGTTCTCCTGAGGGTGACGGAATCGGTGATGAAAAGACCTCCATCCATCATGCCGCCGGGCAAGAAGAACAACACGCTGTCTGGCAGGCTGGCCGCAGCCATCTTTCAGGTACGTTAGTATCGCTGCAGTTGGGTTTTTCTTTTTTCCCCATCGTACCAAACCTACTGTTATTTAGGCATTCTGTGTGGTCGGTAAAACAATGGAGGAATAGGAACACGCTGTTGATTACAGCACAGCTTCTGGAAGACTGACTGCTCCAAGTACTTAACATTAGCCGATGATGTAAATAATGCAAATGTTGTAATCACCTAATGAAGTGGATTTTATTGTGTTATAGATCTTCAGTTTTCAAATATTCAGATGCCATCATATTTTCTCTTTCTATGTCTAGAACACTTTCTAAATATATTATTTACTCAAGGTTGTTTCCTCAGCGACTTGATGAAGTTGAGTAGCACCGATGAGGAGTAGAGAGCTTGTCATGCAGTGGTGGTCTTCTTTGTCCCCTTCTGACTGCACAGACGCTGATAGTCGCCTGGATTAAGGGGAATTTAAATGTGTACATCAGCAGAGAACTGTGGGACGACCTCCTGGCCGTCCTCTCTTCTCTCACATGCTGGGATGAGCTGGTCACCGAGTGGTCACTCACCATGGAGACCCTCACCAAGGTACCTGCACACGCTATGGGAATTAGTCACCTTCATTAGATGGTTTAACATAGATCATCGCAGCACAAAAACAAATACGTTTCCACGAGTAACGATAGTATGTTCACTTCCGTTACTGTAACAAAAATGTTTATGAGTGAAGTAGAGGAGAAACACAATGAATCATTGTTTAAATGCCTTTTATTGTTCACTTTCATTCCATCTCTGCTGCTCCTGGTGGGATTTCATTGATTTGAATATAAAGAAACCGTTCTCTTGCTTTTATCGTAACGATTGTACTGCAGTAGCATGAACGTAGGTGTTAAATGAGTGTGTTGCGTCTCAGGTGTTGGCCAGGAACCTGTACAGTGTCGATCTGAACGAGCTGCCTCTGGACAAACTCAGTGAGCAAAAACAGAAGAAGCATAAAGGAAAAGGTTGGTCCCTTTAGCCTTTTTTTCAAATAAACCTGTGAGTCATGATCAGGAATCCAGACCTCCTGTTCACATATCTATTGAAGATACAATGTCCAGGATATTCTTAGTTTCATATCTACAATCCAAGTCAGCGATACAGTGAAATCACATCAGCCCACACTGTCTACAGCGTCTTACTACGGCTGTCAACTGTTGGCTATTATAAACAAATGTACAAGTCAGAAAAGAAATCTCCAAAATCAGAGCCCAAGAACTGGGATAGTAGACCTTTTTTTTCCACATAAACAAATATTCCTGCACGGTTTATGATGGCGGTTACATGAACGCCATTAAAACGCACATTGAGGTATGAAGTCCTCCCACTTCAGGTATCGGCTCGGAGGGCCAGAGGCAGATTGTGGATCGCTCCTTCTCTAAAGGCTGGAGCAGAGACCAACCGGGCCAGGCAGTGGCCATGAGGCAGCGGAGCGCCACCACCGCCGGCTCCCCGGGCATCGAGAAGGCCCGCAGCATCGTCCGCCAGAAGACCGTTGGTCAGTGTCCCGCCCCCGTTTATTTCCCCTCGACGTCTTCTCCTGCTTTTCTTCCCCCTGCCCGTCCATCTGACAGAATTGTGTTCCTCCGGTGGAGTTTAATTCATGCTAAGGTTAAAACCGTGGCCACAACGCCACAGAGAAGTACCGGTTTAGAGCTGAGAGCAAGTAGAACGGACTCATGCGCGTGTACCTGAAGGGATCCTTCAAACAACAATACACACATATAGAATATCTCACTATAACTCTTCCTGTAACAAATGAGCACACACATGCTAACCGACGGTCTTGCAGGGGCGCAGCTGTTTTCTTTCCAGCTACATAATTAACTTACATGTTTTTAAAAAGGTTTAAATGCGTCAAACTTGCAGTAGAACGGTGGATCTGCCGGCTACATGCGGCGCTCCCGGGTGTCCTGGTTTGAGCTGTAGACGCCACGCTGCCTCTCACTGTCCCTCTAGAACTGCTAACCCGGTCTCACTCCTCCTTTTCCTTCCTCGTCCCGCCCTCCACGTCCTACCATTTCATCCCGCCACTTTTCTACACTTTTCCCCTTTGCTTTGTGTGCCTCGCCCATACATCCATCTTTTTCCCCCGCACCTCACCCCCTCGCTTCCTTTTATTTCCCTGTTTCCTTCCTTTTCTGCCTCACCCTCTTCCCTTCTCTTTTCCCTTTCCTCTCCGCTCTTCCCACCTCTTCAGCCCTGCGTAGCTGCTCTACGGGGGACTCTCTGCTGTCCTCCGCCTTTATCCGCAGCGCTAAGAGTGCTCCAGCTCTGGCGCCGCCTCTTCCTGTCCTACTCCACCACCACCACCCTTTACTACCCCCACTTGCCGACCAACTGGCAGGTACACTCTTTGCTCTACCTGTCATGCTTGCCCCCCTTGACTCGCCTCTTCGTCCCGTCAGAACCCTTTTCTTCTTCTTCTGGATATTTGTGATGACTGACGCAGCTGTTTGCATGTGGTCAATGTGCAGCCATACAAGCCGTCCCCCTTCATGTAACTGGAATGATCGTGGCGATTTGCACGAAATGCTTGAACATCAAAGATGCATCACTTTCCCAAAGCTATTATAACGCGTGTCACGGTTGTGGTTTTCAACATTCGGTGGCACTTATGGATATTGCCAAGTAAGAGAATGAAATGTTGCCATGCCGACACCAAATAATTCAAACACAACCTGTTTGCTGTAGATCTAAATTATTTTGACAGGTAGTCGGAGACGGCTTATGTGTCTCAGTGTCTGTTGACATCTCTGCATGCCTTTCTTTAACTCCTTCTGCCTGCACTGTTTTCTGCCCATTGCAAGCACTCGTTGTTCCAATCGTGTGATGCTTCATTCACTGCTGTGTATTCTTAACTTGACTCCTCCCCTTCTGTCCCATAGGCAGTGGTGGAGTAATTTTTCTGTACTGCATTTTACTGTTGGTGTGAGTTTTGTGATGATTGCAGCAGTTAATTTATCATAATTTGACATCCTACCAAAGTGAAAACCAAATCTTAACAACAGATGTTAGAAAGAAACGTGCACTAAATTATAAATAAAGGCGTGAGTAGATGCCCGTCTTGTAGTGATGTGCATCCACATCGGTGCTGTGAAATTTAGGATAATCAAAAATATTGATCACATTCATAAAACTCACTATGTGGATTCTTTTGGCCGGTTCTTTGTTCTTTTCGAAGTGTGTGTCAGTCGTGCGTAGACATGTATCCACTCCCGTTTTCGCCTCCACTAACCTCACTCCCCTTCCTTCGTCTCCCCCCTCCAATGATCAGACCTCGAGGACCCGCCCATCACACTGACCTCCCGCACCTCTCGGATGCGCCACGCCTCCCAAAGCGAAGAGGCCCCTCCCACCTCGTGCTCTGAGGTCTTCCAGGGAGGGGCGTGCGACAATGACGGCCCCGCCCCTTCCTCCCTCGCAAGGAGCAGCAGCGCCTCTGACGTCATGGAGCCTTTCATCGTCGAGCGGGTCAAAGGTGAAGATCCGCAGGGGGATCCCGCTTCCATTCCCAACCCTACGCACCGCCACTCCACAATTCCCCCCTCACATGCAGGCGAAAACCACGCAGCTCAGCCACTGCCGCACCCCCCCCCTGTCCCCTCTCCCAACCCTTTATCCGTCCCCAATGGTGTTGCTCCCTCGTCCTCTGAGGGGCACGATGATGGTAGTGTTTACGACCAGTTCTGGGAACAGATTGGCTCTCGGAGCCGGGGCTCTAGTTCGGATTGGGTGAGCGACTGGGATTCTGCCTTCCTTTCGTCAGAAAAGGGAATTGATGATGAGGAGGGCGAGATGGGGCCTGTGGTAGAGGAGGAGGATTTATTTTCCTCTATCAGGGACTACCTCACTAACAAAGGAAGTGAGAGGAAGGAGGAAGCAGGAGAGCGAGAGGGGCCGGGCCGTGTGCCGGAGAGCAGTATTGTATCTTTTCCCACGCAAGTGGGGATGGCGAGAGCCCAGAGGGAATACCCAGGGCCGGAAGGAGAGGCAAGGCAGGTGTTGAGAGAGGACAGGCAGGTAAGTGAACCGGTGAGACACAGCAGTGTGGACTCCACGGAGGAGAATGAGGCAGAGCAGTGCAGCATCTACGAGTGCCTGGAGCTGCAGTGTCAGTGGCCGTCGCCCATTGCTTGTGGGGTTGCCGGCTTAGAAAGACTGCCTGGGGAGAAGACGGGAGGAGGGAATGCCGGAAAGGCAGGTGGATGGGAGGGGAAATGTGATGCGTGGGGGGAAACGGGAGAAGAGCAGCAGGGGAGCAAAGAGGTTGCAGCAAATGTGAGGTCCATTTTATGCAGACAAGACGCCAACACAGTAGAATGTAGCACGGAAGCAGGTGAAACTGCCCAAACGTCAGACCCGATTAAAGCCAAGACGGGCCGGAGTAGCACCAAGAGGCACCACAGCGGGGGCGTCCACGTCAGCTTCCGGCCCTCGACCGAGTCCGTGCAGTTCCACAACCCCCTCGAGAGCAAGGAGGCCCACTGGAAAGCCCGACTGCGCCGCCTCAGCCACTTCCACACACACAGCCACTCAGCCGGGGAGAGGCCGGGGGCTGGAGGCGGGGCCGGAAGCGCAGGTAAGTTTGGCACCGCGGCCGGGATCAGCCACAGAGGAGCGCCACACGAGAAGTCCGGGAGCGTCTCGGATAACAGCGGGGCAGGAAGTGGAGCGGCTGCCGGAGGCCCGGATGACAGGGGCGGGACCGGAGGGTATGGGGACTCCTACGCGGGACCCGGCCCGGGCTCCGAGGCGCAGCCCGAGGCGTCGTCGGGCAGCTCGGGGGCGTCGTCGGGCGTGCGCGGGCGCCTGGGCCGCTCCGCCTTGCGCTCGCGAGCCTCCCGCTCGCGGTCCCAGGAGCCTGGAAGCACCGCCTCGCGCCACCACCAGGGGGCTCTCCTGGGTGGCGTCTACAAGACTGTCGTTCACGCTCTGTCTTCGAAGCCACGGCCCCGAGGTCAGGGGTCATCTCAAGGCTCGTCGCCACAGCGACAGGGCCGTGCCGCCACGGGCGACGCCTCGCTCAGGGACCTCTACTCCCATGTCCTGGGCTACTTTGGCCGAAAGACGGCAACGCCAGGTGAGGATGGCAACAACCGAAACGAGGCGCTCACAAAGAACTTGGAAATAAATACTCATCAACACATAAAAACACCAACAACTCTTTTCCTTTTTTGGCTGTTTTTTACTGGTTTGTTATGATGGAATGTTTTTGGTTTTTTTGCGCTGACACTCATCTTGCTGCTGGACTGAAATTCAAACTCCCTGTTGATGTGTTCCGTCTTGAACGTAGCCCCCCCCCTCCAGCCTGCCTTGTGTAAGGCCCCCCATCCCCCTGCCCGCCTCATACCTTCCCACTGGTTCTTCTATCCCGGAAGCCTCGACCGCCTCCTCCTGTCCTCTTCTTCCTTCAGGCTTTGGGATATTAACCCCCCCCGCCCATCCCTCCCCCTCTCCTCCTCCCCTCCTCAATGTTGCATGCGGCCTCTTCGTGCCTCCCTCGCCTCCTGCCCGGACTCCGGCCCTTCTTCAGCTGCACGGGAGGAACAACCACACTCAACAGTAAAAAACCAAATGGCTGTAGAAAAGATAGCAGCACAGATACAAAGAAAGGTCACGTCCTGCTGGATATTCTGTCAGAGCGTTATCACATTTAGATTTCCATGTGTAGACATGGAGGTTTAGTTTCTTAAGGTAAATCAATGGAGTCGCTGCGAGCACGCTGCATATGTAGTGTAAACATGTTCCTGTAGTTCATTCTCAGGCCACTAGAGTGCAGCATAAGATCCTGTGATCCATCTCCATAGTAGTGGCGTACCGAAGGAATTGGAATGGATATGGAGCGGTATGGTTTTCAAATCATCAATCTTGAGTGGTTGGTGCCTTGTATATCAAACAGGAAGACGTCAGAACAGCTTTTCCTACTCATTCTCATCCATGGGGCAGCAGACTGCATTGCTGCTCTTTCAAATATTTTTTGTCTTGAGGATCAGATCTTTCACATCCACATAGTGATTAATCACCTGGTTTAATGAATGATTAAATTGCTGAAGCCACACATCCATTTTACTGTACAGGCCAGAATAATTTTGTTACCATGGTTCACGTAAAAACGTAACATTTGTCCATGAATCAATACGGTTGACTGCAGCTCTACTTCCCACGTTACAGTGAATTCAGACAACCCAAACCCTCTAGTTCTCCACGCAGACTAAAACCAGACCAGATGTTGTGTCTGTTTTGAACAGTTAGTTCTAACACAGCTGGAGTCCTCGGTCATACCATGAGCGTAACCACACAACTCCACGGATCGTAGTACTAAGCATCTGCATGTCTCTCATCCTGATCCAGTGTGCGTAGACCTCCTTCTGCTCTCAGCTAACGTCTCAGCTTAGTATTTCTGTAGTGCTGCTTCTCATTTGAGCCTGTTCAGGCTGTGGGGAAAATTACATGCGAGCATGAGAGCATTTTTTTTACCGGGCCTTTATGAATAAAAGAATGAGAATTACTGAGAGATTGGGATCTAAATTCTCAGGCCAAATAACTTCTATCGTATACAAGTGTCATTCCTGCTTCTGGTGACGCCATGGCAGATTAACAAAACCGCAGAATTGTTCATATACGGACAATGTTATTTCCATGTAAACAGGGCTACACGGTGTTATAAGGTTAGTTAGCTTGAGAAGAACCTGAGCAGAATTACATGCATGTCGGGGGTTTGCTTAGTTGGTAACTGGTTCATGTGCCTCATTGCAACGATGCTCCGCGATGAGGGGCCATGCTGTTGGCGCCTAGAAATTAATGTTCTGTAAGGACACGTTTTGTTCAGCCAGGTGGCAGCAAAAGGCCGGATCTTCATCCTGTGTCTAAAGACGCTGAGCTTTATTAACCTGCGGCCTGGTGGAGGGTCTGGACGAGGCCCGGCTCCGTCAGCTCCGTCGGCCATAAGCTCAAAATGAATACTTGCCCTCCTATGATTTGCCATTGATGGAGGCTCTCTGACGCGCCAGTGTTTGCAAACTCACCCCGACGACTTTGTTGCCGCCAAGCCAAGAGCGACACAACACAAGTGTACTAATATAGGCGTCTGATATGCTGCCTGTGGACCTAACAAGGTGATACTCTCTCTCTCTCTCTCTCCGTGCATGGTGTGAATTAACTCCTGCATTGCTTCTCCGGTGGGATTGCCTGCTGTGTTGTGGCTTTTGGTTAACAATCAATCTTTTGTTAACATCAGAGCCTGCTGTGTACACACACACACACACACACACACACATAAAAGTACGGCCTTTGCATTTTGTGACGTTTTATCATAAATATCAAACATCTATCATAGTAGCCACAGCGTAGATGGAGCTCATGGTGCTAAAGGGAGTTTCTCTCACTGAGTGAGACAGGCAAGATGAATGATGTCATCATACCACTTATACAGTGGTTTGTACACATTCTCAACTTTAACAGTCAGCGAGTCAGACCTGATGACCTGTCATACAGAAACGTGATTACTCAATTCTTTGTCTTTGAGCGGCTTGAGGTGTCTCATTGTGCGTTAATTAAATTGTATTCATTTTCTATCTGTGTGTGTGTGTGTGTGTGTGTGCATAGGGATACGCTCAGTCTTTGACAAGCATCATGTATCTGCATTTCAGCCAACAAAGAGGAGGTGGTCCAGAAGGCCCGACCCGTCTCCAGTGACGTAGGAAGCACAAACCCAAACTTTTCTGACCTCATGGATGAGTTTATTCAGGAGAGACTGAGGGCCAAAGGAACAGCTGTGAGCACATCAACACTCACACACTGTGGTTTCAGTGTATTAGGCCACCGAGCCGTAGCTCCTTTTTCTATCGCGGCTGACATTCGAACGCGGGAACAAATAGCGTTGCTTTTCTGTAAACAGGGCCGCCGTGGCAGCAGCCCCGGCAGTCTGGAGGTTCCCAGGGACCTGCCAGAGCCGCTGGAGGCGGGTCAGAGCCCTGGATCTCGGCCGTCAGATGACCACCGCCCCGTCGATGATCCGGGGGTTCCCTCTGAATGGACGTCGCCTGCGAGCGCCAGCGGTTCGGATGTCATCAGCTCAGACAGCCAGTCGGACTCCTTCAATGCCTTTCAGTACTCCACTTGCAAGTTTGAGAGTGAGTGATAACCGCTTAGATCACTGTCATTTTAGTTTTACCGGACATGTTTTGCGTTGTCGAAATGAAAAAACAGTCCTATAGATACCTGTCATTTGTCTCCATCTGCAAAACTTGCCCATGAAAAATGTCTAATGGTCAGCACTTTCTTTTTAGACTTTACTTCCATTTCAGAAGCCTGTGCAGGAGGTGTCGGCTGTGGGGGCGGCGGGCGAGGCAGCTCACTGGACCAGGACAGCCTCGGTGGGGGCGCGGCCAGTGACGAACACGAAGTGGCCAGTTTGACGACACTTCACATCGACTCGGAGACCAGCAGCCTCAGCCACACCGTCACCGTTACCGGTATGCACCTAACACAAAGACAGCCGCCTAAATATGGAGTATTAGCAACAATACTGTAGATATTTGCATAATAATGTTGTAATGTTTTTCTACATGAATGTGTAACTGGAACATTTCACGGCTAACCCCAATGGACTCTTAACCATGTGTGTTCTTCTGTAAACGGCCTATCCATAGCATTATTTGTTTTCCTTTTTCATTAACCGCTGCAACAGCATATTCTAGGCCATTGTAGGTGAAATAATAAAAAACAAAGATGTGTGTATCGCACCACAGACGCCGTGTGGCTATTCAATTTCATTTGCAAAGACCAATATCCCAAATTTAGCTGATATGCCTGCTGTGGATGGTGCAATAAAATGACACTTTGCAATCATATTAAGCAGTAATGTAATACCTGTGATTGTAGCCTGCAATCACCGTATTATCATAAATGTCCGGAGGTATTAGGCGGCTGTAATCAGCCCCCTTGAAAGTTGAATGTACATCACAAATAGCACCGTAGAGAAATTCCATTTGGTGGAAATGTTTTGAAATTGTTTCCTGGTTTGTGCGAACACATCCTAATGTTAGTTTTACCTAACGACCAAAGAATGAAGGCTCCTCGGTCACTTTCTTTCTCCCTGTCGTGTCCATCCTTGTCCAGGTTCTGAAAGCGCGTCCCCCATGCATTCCCTGGGGGGCTCCCGCTCTCAGACCCCCTCCCCCGCCACACTGACAGCCGAGCACAGCGAACACTCCCACTCACACACACACCTACAGCTGGAACAGAAGCTCCACAACGCTGTGCTGCAGACTCCAGATGACCTAGGTAACACTCACAAGTACATCTCAAACATGCACTCACGTGTTCTCTAAGCAAGAGTAACTGACAAACTTTGATTGCTCCTAGAAGCCAGCGAGTTTCCCAGCGAAGATTGCAGTGTCATGACGGGTGGCTCGCTAACCGGATGGCACGCAGATGTTGCCACGGTGATGTGGCGAAGGATGCTGGGAATCCTGGGGGACGTCAACAGCATCAAAGACCCGGAGATCCATGCACAGGTCTTTGACTACCTGTGTGAACTGTGGCATAACCTGGCCAAGGTGTGCGCCGACAAGAGCCTACGATGACAGTGATGCAACAACACTTTCTGTTAACGTTGTGGGGGTTTTCTGTAAAAAAACAACAACTTTTCTTTCCAGATAAGAGATAATTTGGGCATTTCTCTGGACAACCAGTCATCTCCGCCTCCCCCTGGTCTTATCCCACCTCTGCGAATCCTCACCCCCTGGCTTTTTAAGGTAACTGAGGAGGTCACTATAGTACCTCTTGTGTGCACCTCATTGAGTACCTGAAAATAATAACTACCTATAACTAAGATTATGACATTTCTTGTATTTCAGAACTGCAGTGCTTTTGATTGATTCCTTTTTAATAAACGGAAATCCAAATGCTTTTGAAAAGAAAAAGAATATCACACGGAGAGACTGGGGATCCCACCACAAACTAGCGTTCTATCGCCTCACCCTGCTCTCGTATGTAAATGTGTTTTCCTGCAGGCCACCATGCTGACGGAGCGCTACAAGCAAGGGAAGCTCCACGCCTATAAGCTGATCTGCAGGATCATGAAGAGACGGCAAGATGTCTCCCCGAACTCCGACTTCCTCACACACTTCTACAACATCATGCACCAGGGACTGCTGCACCACGACCAGGTAGGCCGCGTCACACTCATTTACTGTAGAGCAATGTCTTCTGTTTGTACTGCTTCAGGTCTAAAGGATGGAAGGTGTGGTACTTGCTATAGCTGTCGGTGTGTTTTTGTGGTTCCTGCAGGACATTGTGAACACTATCATAAAACATTGCAGTCCCAGGTTCTTCAGTATCGGCCTCCCTGGAGCCACCATGTTGATCCTGGACTTCATCTTAGCTGCTTCGAAAGTCACCGCCTGCTTGTCACTCAACGTAAGCAGCGCGCTTCTGAACACTGTTGTTTTGCAATAACTGCGAGACACGTGAAGAGCACGACCTGGCACATAAAAAAAGAAAATCCCATTTGAATTTTACCTGTCCTTGTCTGTCCTTTCTTCTCCCCCCCTGGTCATAGGCTCCACGAGTGGAGGCCCATATCCTGCTGGGATCTCTGGTGTGTTTTCCCAACTTGTACGAGGATCTCCCGGCGCTGCATCCCACCACAGCCGACGTGGTGCTCACCAAGTTCCCCGACGTCAAGGTAAAGGGCTTTGTGCGTTTTGGAGCTGAAACCAGTCATCGTGCCTCTGTGCTTACTTTCTGTGTTCAGTGAACCACAGTAGAAAAAAGAGAGCGGAAAGACACAAGTAAATGTTACATACGCAAACACACTACTGTTGCTGGTTCAGGTCAAACATTTAAGTCAAAGCTACATTGTGTGTAATCCAGGTCGGTCCGAGGCTTATAATGCGCTTGTCTCAGAAGTAAATTGAGGCTAATGGCTCATTAACCATTCTTGTAACAGTCCAGAGCTATTGTGGGAGTAACAGTGTTGTTGTTGTTGTCGCTGTGTAAAGAGTCAATGCCATGCATGGCAGCACCTCGGGCCCGCTCACTGGCTCCTTACAAGACACAAGCTAGTTTTGAATCACTAAGCGGTCATTATGTGTCATTATGTGTGTGTGTGTGTGTGTGTGTGTGTGTGTGTGTGTGTGTGTGTGTGTGTGTGTGTGTGCGTGTGCGCTGATGCGTCTGCACTGTGCCTGTGGGTCTGTGTGTGTAGATGGCTCATGCCGAGGGGGGTTGTAGTGCTTATTAACTGTGTTTGTCTGCATGCTCTGGTTTTTAGGATCATATTATCAAAACCATCCTGACCTCTGCCAAGGACGAACCGTCTGCTCCCGCGAGGTAAGTGATCAACGTCGTGATTATGACTATTATATTTGTTGTTATACAATTACAACACCAAAAGTTTACAACTTTTGTTTTTGACAATTGATGCCGATATGTGTGAAAAGATGACATTAAACGAGAAAAGACTGACGGCGTAACATATTTAAAGCAATCTAGAATTCCAGAGAGCCTTACTGCATTGAATTATATTTTAAATAGTCACCTGGCACTTTTATTTTGTAAACTCATTTAAATACACTAAATAAATGTTAGGGCTGGGCATGTTAACACGTTCTAAATACATTAACGTTTGGTCAGCGTGAGTCTCCAGTGTGTTCTCCTCGACTCTGCTTGTGTGTAACGCTGCATGTGGCGTGTTAGGTGCGTGGCTCTGTGTAGTCTGGGCATCTGGATGTGCGAGGAGCTGGCTCACGGGACTCAACATACGCAGATTAAAGAGGCCCTCAACGTCATCTGTGTCACTCTGAAGGTCAGTGCTGCTTGAGTTTCCCGTTGTCTGGATGTTTGACAATACCTTAGAATACCGCAATCCCAAAAGGAAAATAACTTGACTACCTATAGTTTCATATATTTAAACAGGTTTAAAGTGGTAGGTTTCTATTTGGGCCATTGTCACAGCAAAAGTGCTTTTTTATTTTTGGAAAGTAATCCACTGTGTTTTTTTGCATATTTCTGTGGTTTGATGCCACACAATGAGAGCTAAATTTGTTTAGAGTTGGGACATTTCCCTAACATGGTGGGCCGCACGCAGCCAAAGTGTGATGGAAAAACATTGTTGGAGATGATTGTTAGCGTTGGGGAAATTGCCTCAGTTGGTATTGTCTGTTTCAGGCCACTAGACTGGGAGGCATGTGGATCCGAATAATACTGTCCAACATGTACTGTCTCATCTATAGCCAAGCAGCCTGAGATGGACACACATACACACACAAACACACACATACACACACATACAAATACTTTCCCACCTTGGAATCCCTTGCTTGTGTATCGGCAGCCAATGCCTGCTAACACATTACACCAACACAGACACACACTTCCTCCTGGGAGCAAACCCTGGACAGTCAATATGTTTGGTTCTCCTTCAGATAGGAGACTAATCCAGGGGGAATGCTGCAAGCTGTGTCGCTCTCTCTCTCTCACACACACACACACACACACACACACACACACACACACAAACTTGCATCTTGCTGTCATACCAGCATTCAGCATCCCCAGACATGAACCCCTCTGCGCGCGCGCACACACACACACACACACACACACACACACACAAACACTCAGTCCCTCTTTACATCTAAAAGGGTTACAACTAACGTGCGATGTTTTACAACAGTTACAAGATAACACGTTTGTCATCAAACGAGGTCAAATGTGCCTCATGCTTTTAATAATTTAGTACCAAAATATCAGTTTCACTAAGAAGCCGAGAATGAACTCTGCTCCTTTTTTTGTGTCCCAGTACCCCAATAAGAATGTAGCACTGGTGGCTTCGGACGTCCTTCACCTCCTGATCAGTCACGTGGATCACCTTCAGAAATTCCCGCCCGACACGCCGAAGAAGATAGTCGAGGTGAGACGGGAACAATTTTCTGAATGTTTCCCAATGTCGGTTTAGTTTATTATTGATACTTGTATTTATATCATATTGTATAAAGATGATGAAACTTCATTGAAACACACCGAATGTTGCTGCTTTCGCTCAACCTTCACTCTTGTTTTTTTTTTTCATTATATATAAAATAATACATATATTTTCTTATGATTTGCTGTGTTTTTTTGTGTTGTATCTTGTAAACACCTACAGCAGTACTGTAGTTGCTACAGTAGTGCGTAAAATAATTTTGATTGTTTTTACTTAGATTTTGATCGCCACCATCACACACTTGCTGCCTAATACCGAATCCTCGCCTCATGAACTGGACAAGAGGGTAACACACACACACACACACACACACACACACACACACACACACACAAATTCTGGTGAACGATCACAATATCACTCATTTTGTTTTTAAAGTGACCTTATAGCTGAGTGTTTCTTTGTGCGTCGCAGCTGGTGGTGTCCCTCCTGTTGTGTCTGTTGGACTGGGTGATGGCGCTTCCTCCAAAGACTCTTCTTCAGCCCGTTCAAACACAAAGCCCCCCAGAGAGAGATCAGCCCACCAAGACCCTGCTCAGCTGTATTTATAAGGTGTGCATGTGGGGTTGTCTCTTTGTGAGCTCTTTCAGCCCTTCACAAACACACACACACACACACACACACACACACACACACACACACACACACACACACACACAATGTTGACATGAGGAAGGTTTACTTACATATTTTCACCCATTTATCATTCATCCTCTCTTTAAAAGGATAAATCGTGTTTAGTCTGTTATAGTGTGACTTATAAAGTCCGACCTGAACACAATAAAACAAACAAACAAAATAACCACCCAACTGTTTCTGTGACTGTGAAGAGATGGATTTGACAGCATCAGTTCCCTGTAGGAAATAGCAATCTGTACACAAGAAGCGAAAGATCTGAAAATATACAATATATATCTTAGTCTTAAACTGATTTTTTTTTAACTTTCAGTACATTGTTTGGCTCCTGTGCTGTTTCTGTACAAACATCCAGCCACTCTAAGTAAAACACAGATGATGGATGATTAGCATTCTATTACTTTTGCCTTCAACATGGTCTCCAAAGGAGGCTGAACTGAAGTCCAACTGAAATCCCTTTTTTTCTTTTAAAATGGTCCAGGTATTACATGGCTGTGTGTATGGAGCCCAGTCTTTCAACAGTCCCAAGTATTACCCGCTGCAGCTGTCAGACCTGCAGAGTCCAGACTACGACCCGTTCCTGCTGCTGGAGAGCCTCCGGGAGCCGGAGCCGCTGCACAGCCCGGAGTCCGAGCGCTCCAGCAAGCTGCAGCCTGTCACTGAAGGTCATTCATCAAACAGCAGGCACACGCCGCCGCCGAGCACCGTCTTTGCGACCATTCCGTATCTGTAGAGACGAGTCTAAGCATGTGAATGTGTGGTTTGGCCGCAGTACATATCTATATGTAGGCTCTAACTCTTGCATCTAAAGTGGAGCACTGTCGTACACACAGTGACCCGGAGCCGTCCACCAAACCCATACCAATCACCACAGATGGTAGCGTGTGTGTGTGTGTGTGTGTGTGTGCACCTGTCTGCATCCGTGTGAGAGTGTGTATGGTCCCCTGCTGTGGCCCTCCAGGACACCGTGTCTAGTCTAATGACGGCAGCACCGTGATGGACCACGCTTGTCTTCTTTTCGCTCCCCTCTTTATTTGTGTCTTCTTGTGTTCAAAGCGAAATGGGTGAAAGGAAGTGAAGCAGTGAAATACATTCTTGGGAATATACTGTTCACTTCTCTGTGTATATTATATATATATCTCCTCTCTGGTCATTTGACTTTTCTCTTTTTTCTTTTGCTTCCCTTTCCTCCTTTCAAGCTCTCCTGGGGTTTCAGATGTTGTTGAGAATGTGTGGTCAATACATATCTGTACTCTACACACACCCCATCAATAAGGAGCTCTAGGCAAACTGTGTGTGTCACTTTGTGTGTAGCGATGTTGATTAGCCCAGATCTGCTGGCAGCACAGTGTGTGATGGCATTGGCTTCTGCTCAGCATGAGGCAAACTATGTACAAGCCGAACGTGTCTTTGGACCACGTCTTGGTTTTCACCAAAGTTTTGTTGCAACTTGGAACCTGAATAATACATGTTTTAACCCCTGAAAGAAAAAGCCCGTAGTTAATTCTTCTGAACTATATACACGTAAGTAATATCCGCTTTTTCCTTCTCTGTCTGCAGTCCGTAACCGTATTCAGCAAGGCCTGGTTTCCATCGCAGCCAGAACGGTCATCACACACTTGGTCAACCATCTAGGACACTATCCGATGTCTGGAGGGCCCGCCACGCTGTCCAGTCAGGTACTGCTCCTGCGTGTTAGCTGGTAACAATGGCTGTATGTGTCCTACATACATACAAATAGGTTAAAGCACTTTTGTTTGGATCTTTGCATCGTGGTCAGAGCAACGTTGTGGCCCGTGTTCTGTAGGTGTGTGAAAACCAAGACAACCCGTTCTGTGAGAGCGCCGATCTTGGACCGGAGCTTTTCCATTCGCCAAACCTGCAGTTCCTGGTCCTTAACGGCTCCACGCTGCTCTCCGTGTATCAGGTAACCACCACTAAGAGAAAGTGTTTTCAAACCACCATCACTCTCCCACTTTATGACTTTTAACCCCCTACCTATTTTATAATGTGTGTAATCATGACTGATAAAGGCCAACTGATCTCAAAACCTAAAAGGATCTACTTTCCCCTACTTGTAGTCTCACGAGAGAGTTAGTTCTCGTCCACGTCGTTGGTGTTGTCGGGATCTCCGATCCCCCCGAGTTGGTTGATGAGAAGGATCACAGCACGTTGATCGATTAAAGTCAAAACGTTAACATTTATTTAGAAGAGAAAAAGATTACATGAGCCTTTCTCCGCAGATATCTGGCTCTAACTATTGCTTGTAAGCAGGAGGTCAAACACACCAGCACGTATTCCAGCGTTCTGTGTGATGGCGTCTCCGAGCAGTAAAAACGCTTAGTTTTTATACACATGAAGACCATCGTCAGGCCAGTTTACGAGAAGCCACAATTCAAGTTGAGATAAGAACTCAGGTGAAGATGAGGGTAACACACAATGCTTCTTCGATAAGGGTCTGTGAGAGCAAGTTAACCCCCTTCTCCAGACACAGCTGCAAACCCTAAATCTTTCTGTCTCTGCACATCAGGGTCAAACACTTGAGACCTGGCCTTTAGCACCAGACAAATGTTTACAACATGTTTTACCACTACATGCATCTCACAGTGTCTATTACATTTTTCGTTCCTCCAACACATAAAAACAGATTAACTGATGGATTCTCATAAAAGTTTTACAGGTTGCGAATGAGAAACTGTAACTAAAAGGAAGCAAAGTTGGTCAATTCAAGCTATTCAAGAAGGGTTTTATGTGGATTGTGCTACTCGGCAGTGCAATTTGGTGCATTAACCAATGTCCCTTGTCCTCCTCTACGTCCCAGATACGGTCAGAGTCTGGCGTGCCGGGAGGAGGAATGACGGCCGGTTTGTCGTCTGCTCCTGCTTGCGTTCGCGTCATCATCCGAGATGTCGCGGGAAAACACTCCTGGGACTCCGCCGTTCTCTACGGTCCTCCCCCGGGTTCCCCGAACAGCCCGACAAACGCATTCATGCCACCCGCGCGGTCGCCTCACGCCGAGCGTCCCCACTTGCGCACCCCTCAAGCCGATCCACTGAAAAAGATGGAAGGAGTGAAGAGGGGAGACAGCCAAGAGGAGGGGCAGGAGGAGAGCGAGCCAGAGGATGGGGGGAGAGGGACTGAGGGCGAAAGGCAAAGCTTTCAGGGAGAGGAAGAGGAGAGAAGAGTCTCTGAGGAGGGGGTGGGGGAGCAAAGTGGAGGAGAAGAGGAGGAGCAGGGGGAGGAGGAGAGGATGGATGGGGAGAGGGATGCAGGGGATTCGGGCTTGGAACAGATCCTGGCTCCGCCATTGGCTAAACGCGTGTGTCGGGAGGCGGTGCCGGCCTGGGGTTCACTGAGGGAGGGAGACGACTCGCTGGATGAAATGCTGCAGTACCTGGGATACTCCAGTCCTGAGTGTCTACAGAGAGCAGGTAATGTACACTTGTACATTCAATCTACAGCACGTTTGGCAAACATTTAACACACTGACTTTGAAGGCCGCCCTGTTTGAAAGGAAGCCGTGAATAGTTTTCCTTGTACTGTATCTTAAACCATCGGCATCGGAATAAGCAAAGCACACGTTGAAAGACAGAATAAAAATATCCTTTTGTGATTGGTCCTTCAATTTGTACTGTAAAAACAGGAATGTTCATCAAATCAAGGGTGGACTCTCACTAACACATCAGCCTGACTGTAGAAGACCTAAAGGGAAATAAGTTTGTCACCTGATTGATTGGTCCCCTCAGGCATGCCGCTCAACATCCCGGCGCCTCCCCCAGCGTGCGTTTCAGAAAAGCAGGAGAACGATGTGATCAATGCCATCCTGAAGCAGAGCGCCGCCGAAAGAGAGTTTGTCCTTCATGTACGTTGTGTCCATAACTGCATGAATAAAATGAGTTTGATGCGGTGGATGTTCAGCTGGTGGTGGCTCATAAGAGTAACACTGTCCTCAGTGAAGCAATGTGAATTCTGCTTGGCAATAAATGCAAAGCTATTATCAAGACAAAGGTCTTGCATCAAGGTTGTGATATTTGGATAAACTCTAAAGAGCTTTCTTATGTTGGCATCTCTATTCTGATTACGATTTGAGTTATGGCTCTCATGACGTGTCGTTTTCTGGTTCGTTTTCTGGATATTGTTGACTTATTTAATAAATATAAAACTGAATCTCTGAATGTTTCAGAGAGGTGAGGATCTGAACATGAGAGCCGTTCAGCAGACAGAACCAGAGACTGAGACACCACAGTCAGCCTTCTACTACTGCAGACTGCTGATCAACATCCTGGGGCTCAACTCCTGGGAGAAGAGGTGAGACCACACACAGACATACAGATAATGGAAGTGTTGTTTTCAAAAATGAAGAAACTCCGGACGGACAAAAGACATCTTGGATTGAAAAGTATTTAATGCAAGACAAAGTTGTTGTGCTAAAAAGAATATCTCTGCTGAGGATCCGCTGGTTTCTGTAATCTACAGGCCACAGAGTAGCTCATTGACTCCCCCACAGTCACTGTCTCTTGCAGGTCTCTTGATACGGGTCAGTAAAGGTGTGAAAGTTAGTGTCCTCGCCCCTGTGCATGGGACGTCTCCTGGTGCTTTCAAGTTGACTAGTTATTTAGAGTTATTCCAGAATATGGTGGTGCAATGAGGTATTAGCTGCGTTCAGTAAGTGATATCAAGATGCTGCGTTCAGTAAGTGGTATCAAGATGCTGCGTTCAGTAAGTGGTATCAAGTATTGCATACATGCATTCCGGTTGATTACATTGCATTGGACACAATCATAGCTGCGCAATGGTTATTCTATTGATTCTATTACAGTTTCAAAATCACAGCGGAATTACACTGTTATCCTTTCTTTATTGATTAGATAGTTTCAGAATCATAGCTGTATGCTGGTGTACACTAAATGTATTTTATTATTTGGTCTAATTTATGAACCCGGTCGTCAGTTTGTTGATAATATTCCACAGAAGCCACATGCAAGTGTACTTTTTTTGAGAAAAACATGTACTTTACTGAAACAATCTAAGTATAACTTTGTATTCAAATGTAACTGACTTTGTTTTCATTTAGTTCATGGAAAACAAAGTTCAGATATATCTTCTTCAAGACACATCCCAAGCTAAATTTAACCAGCTAGTCGGAACCCAGCCCAAGCTAACATTCGCCAGCCCGAGCTAACTAGAGTCCAACCTAGCCGAAGGTGACTAGCCGGCTGTATCTGTAGGCTCTGCTGCAGGGCTCTGGCATTGGTTTGAACATGGCAAGCGAGAGTGTCTGTCTAAAACGGTTTGGAGGAAAAGGTACAAGTGCAATTCTGATGGAAAAGTTATTGTAAATATAATACATGATTTAAAATAACGTCACTGTTTTGGCCAATACTCGCACTTGAGAAACAGGATGCTGATTGCAGTTGACTTAAGAGCCACCGGCTTCATTGGGAATCAGGATTGTAGTACTAGTACAGGGCTATAGGACATAGTACTTATTAGGACTAATAAAAGTGAAGTGTCACATTTATACGTAAGAAGGGGAAACAAAAGGTCTCCTGCTAAGAGGCTGTTTTTTAGTCCGATGTAACACGCCTGTTTTGAAGTCTTTCAATTCTTTTTGTCCCCCCTCGAACAAACCACATGCTCGTTGAATACAAATGGAAGAAAAATGTCCCATTCAGAAAAGTATTTTGTGCTAATTAGACACAAGGCACACCATTTCATCTTCTCAATGACTCCGGGCGAAAATACATAATGTCAAGGTATCACTTTAGAAGTATCTGGCCAGCTAATGGACCCTCATCGCTCTTTATGCTTCACCCAGGGAATTGCACCCTCTGCATTCAGCCTGCACAATGGACTTCTTACACACACACACTCGCAGTGTGTTGTGTGTTGTGTGTTGTGTGTTGTGTGTGTGTGTGTGTGTGGTGTGTGTGTGTGTGTGTGTGTGGAAGAGAGTGTGATAATGAGTATAGTACTCTATTGATCAAACTCACCCATTTAGGGTTAGAATAAAAGGTAGTAGTTGAAGAAGGAGATGATGGTGGGAGAAGTGGCAAATCAGAAAACAGGATGAATAAGGCGAGTGCAGATATAGACAAAAAAAATAACAAATAATAAGTAAGCAAATAATGAAGAAAATGAGAAAACAAGGATGCTAAAGACGCTTAGATATTGGGCGGGGAAAGAGGAGAGACTGATGAGAAAAATAGGACGAAATTGTCTAATCATCAGTTATTGTGTCCTTATGTCTCTCCGGGTATTCAGATGGGACATCACAAACACTAAGATGTGCCTGCGTGCATGTGTCCTCTTTTATGCTTCTCCCCATAATCCAGGGTGTAAATGGAGTCTTTGAGAGCAGAGAATGAGGCCATTACCAAGTATCAGTTTAATAAAGAGCAAATTGCTGTATCTCTCTCTCTCCTTTCCTCTCCCCCTTTATCTCCTGCTCTTTCACTCTTTTTCTTCTTTTTTTGTTGAAAGAATGACAAGTCATTATCAGTCCCCTCAGAGTGTCCCCTCAAGTCTCAGCTTTTTATGTCAGAGGTTGGTGGCTGGGACATTTTGAACCCTAAGCTTGTTAGTTGTTAATCGTATTTTGTCCTCGTGCTTTTGTCGATCTCTAGCGACCTTCTCTGGGACGTAGTACGATGAGGCTGGTTCCTATAGCTTGTAGCTTAGCAATACTGCTAAACTGCTGAAACAAAAACATTTTTGGCACCACCAGGAACACGAATCTCTCGTCCATCGATAGATTCACGCTTCCTCAGGGACGGTAATGAGCCTTGTGTTTGTCGTAGAGGCAAAAAGACCTTTGTGTATTATTTTGAGTATTTTGTGTGTTTTTCCTGTTTTTTTTATGACACTTTTACAGTATACATTTCCAATACATTGCACTACACAACACTAAGCAACTCATAGCAACACAATGCAGCGAGTATCACTGCAGGTAGTAGTTATATTGAGAACGAGAGTTTGTTGGCGTCTGTGGAGACAGATTTTATACTCATTATGCTTGAGATTGCCAATCAGAAAAGGGAAACAAACAAACAAACTAACTATAATTGACTTACATTCATGCCTGTTGAGAATCCTTCTTGATGAAGGCAAAGTTCTACTGTCATGTGACTGAGGTTTACTTGAAATCTGACATGAGGGACCATTTTTGTCTTCGTACAAATCTACCCAAAGGATGGGATCTGATGTTGTGATGATTATGAAAGCTTCTTTCAAAATGCTTAGAAAGCTCAAATGTTATTTCTTTTCATATTGCTTTGAATTAATTCGATCTGGGATTCTGGTCTTTTTCACTAGAAGTCCTGGCCGCTCTGCTTGATGTCTTATTCAGATGGCACAGGATTTGTTTTTTGTTTTTCTTTTTGTTCTTGTCTTTTTTCTTTTTGGCAGTGAACGGTGACAAAAACAAGCAACCAGCCAATTAAAGGAGACGGTGGTGTTAGCCAGTTAATGGCAGAGAGGCACAAGAAATGTAATCCACCTTATCAAATGCCCACGCGGTTTAGCACACAGGAAAAACCAAGAGGGACGGCAGAGCACAGGAGCTGCGTCTAATTGAAATGACAAGGAAATAAATGATTGTATTTTCACTATGATAAACTACTGACTATTACTCTTATTACTCTAACTATTCCATGGGATATATGTATACCTAACCTGCGCATGTATCTGTTGTCTTCCAGAAGTAACTTCCATCTGCTGAGGAAGAATGAGAAGTTACTGCGAGAGCTGAAGAACCTGGACTCACGACAGTGGTGAGAAAATCTGAAGGAACCCCTTCTTCTGTTGTAGTGGGTTACTGTAGATACTGCTCCGGACCAAAGTATAAATTATGACTAGGCTGCTGGAAAAACAGGTTTTCCCTTAATTGTTACATCTAAAAACAAAAAGTAGCTTTGAATGAATATATTTCAGAGGACACAACAGATATAGATAAGAACACACAATAGAAGAGACTTCCGAATGGATCGGCCCCATTTTGAATATGCTGCGCACCATTTCCTTCCCTTTTATCTTGATCACCGGGGATTAATCTGTTCCATCACGCCTCATTTCATTATTTAAGGGGGAAAACCCCGATAACACACTGAAGGATGGAGGTAAGGATCAGGGGAGAAGTGCTTTGGTCCAACTAAAGTAATGTATTGATGTTGTAGAAGCTGCTCAAATGAATGTATGGTCCGGTATTCAGTTTGTCGCCGTGTCGGCCATTATTGTTTTTCTCTCTTCTAGCCGCGAGACTCATAAGATAGCAGTGTTTTATGTGGCCGAGGGCCAAGAGGACAAACACTCCATACTGACCAACACAGCGGGCAGCCAGGCTTATGAGGACTTTGTCTCTGGACTGGGCTGGGAGGTAAGAACACCTTCATTCTCATAGATGTTCACACATGGTTTATATCCACGTATATCTTTGACATTGGGTCCCTGAAGTCTCCTGGTTAGTACTTTTAGGACTTGATCTTAGTTAGTTAAAACATACAAAAATCAAATAGAATATAGAATACATTTATTTTTATTTTTAACACATGAACATTTTATCTTTTGTTATTATTTAAGAATCAGCGAAAACTGAAGCTAGTGTGATTTGATTCATATGTTATTCTATCCCCAATGAAAGGGGGGAAAAGGAGGCGTTTTTAATGTACCTGCGTGTCCTCAGGTGGACCTCGCTACTCACTGCGGCTTCATGGGCGGCCTGCAGAGGAATCGCAGCACGGGCCAGACCACGCCTTACTATGCCACCTCCACCACCGAGGTCATTTACCACGTCTCCACCCGCATGCCCCACGACCAGGACCACAACCTCACCAAGAAGGTGACACACACCCATCTGACTGGTGATATTTCCCTGGCGTATTTTTTTCTCCCCTATTCTCTTATTTCCCTCTTCAGTCCTGCCAGTGGAAAGTCACCTCATTGCCTGCTCATCACTGTGGGGAGGGGGGGGGGGGGGATTTGCTCACTCTTGACTTTTCAAAATGTTCCAATTTCTTCTCTCTGTCAAGCACACTGCATCTGTCGGCCCCTTTATCTCCCGCGTCACACAAATGCAGGTTGTGCGGTGAGAGAGGCGGCGTAATTAGTAATAACCAGCGTAATTATTGTTGCTGCTCTAATTTAATTTAATGAGGGGAGATGTGCAGTGAGAGGAAGGGGGGAAATAATCCTACTCGTCTCCCTTTTGATGCCTTTTTTCTTTTCCTCCTTCCCGATCTCTTTTGTTTGCAAATGAACATAGGTTGCTGCATACGCGCGCGCGCACACACACACACACACATACACACCAACCTACCTATCTGTTAATGTCAATGTTCCGAAAGAACAACAATTTTTCCAATAATTCTTCGTGGCAATCATGTCTGTGCCTGGCGTGGACTCGTATCAGTTTCTAGGCAGGCAGGTTTATTGTGTGTTGTGTGTACTTGTGTGTGTACACCTGTCAACCCCCAGGCATTGGTGCACTCTGCACATGGCCATAATGTCCCTTTAATCAGATCATACTTCCTGCTTCTCGGCCTATCACGTCGCTGCAGGCTCCTGATTGGATTATCAGCGCCTGGTCCGACACCATCCGTCTCCCTGATCAGCTGATGGCCCAATCAAACACGCATGCTCGCATACACACATGCGCACAGAACAAACCTGTTTAACGTGACACAAACACACATATGCTAAGGGATTTATTCACATTAGCCGGCACAAATGTGTCGCCGTGCGGTCATTTGGGCTGGCTGATGTGAATAAAGCCTTTAGCATATGTGCGCAAATGACCGCACAACTACACATTTGTGCTTACAAGAGCTTACACACAAACCCACACACGCGGTAGTGAGCGCACACGCAGGCTCACAACTGCATGTACATGTTTGACAAACGTGTCCACAAAAGAGTTTATACTGATAGACATACACGTGTCCATACTGGCAGGTATTTATCAGCCGTACTCCTGCCACACAGACACACACACACACACACACATGCTCAGTGCAGTGGGATTTTATCGCAGGGCGTTTGTTCAGCGCTCGCTCTTTGCTGTGTGTTCTGCTCCCTCTCGTACATCTGCTTGAAACCCGATTAAAAGGATTACAGCTGCATTACAGCGACTGATTGCAGCGTTCAGAGTCAACGTCACTCTGCGTTGTTGAAGAATGGTGATGCACATCAGAGCATCACCTCAGAAGTGAAGACTCCCTTGAGTGAAAGTCATAACTCACCGAATGGGAGAATGACGGATCTCTCCAGTGCATTTTGTTCAAATTATTTTTACCTCCATTGTGATGTGACTGGTAAGGATAAAGGTAAAGATCACATTTGATTAAAATATGTCTTGCATGCAAATATTCCTGTATTTATTTTATTTATATCACCTTTATTCAAATAATCTATAAATAAATACATTTTGTCAGGTCGGTGAAGCATGGCTTGGGGTCAGCTCTGTGTGTGTGTGTGTGTGTGTGTGTGTGTGTGTGTGTGTGTGTGTGTGTGTGTGTGTGTGTGTGTGTGTGTGTGTGTGTGTGTGTGTGTGTGTGTGTGTGTGTGTGTGAGACCCTTGTTTTCACCCTCGACCCGCTTTGCTACATCATTAGAGATGTTATTGTTTAATCATATTTTTGGGGGATTTTTTTTTCATGCTGCGCAGACCTTCTGTCCCAAAATGTATTTTGTATCTTGGATTTCTGTTCACACACTGTTCTCTCAGCTTTTTGGGTGAGCTGATCGCGTATCAGACTACTTGGATCTTAACGGGAGACAAAATACATAACTGGTACGATTCAAGCAAACATTTCATATGAAATGCGGATGTATCGGCACCAAGGCTCAGAGCAGCAGACATCTGAAGGCATTAGTCTCTCGAAGACACGCGTGTGTGTCCATGTGTGTGTCTATTCTAGCAGGCGTCAAGGTTAATGACAGAGCTGCCGCCAGCCCTTAGTTTATGAAGTGAAACTTACACACACAACACTGCGAACGGCCGCCATCGGACTAGATCCCATCCGTCTTCCAGCCCGCAGTCCATCTTATCGGAGCTTCATTTGCTCTTTGTCCACTCCTCCGTCTTCACACACTCGCTCCGTCACCCCCAGGGCCGCCTATAGCTCGTACATGCAAAGAAAGCCTTGGGTTTATGATGGATGGTGTTTGTCCAGCTCATTGTGCGAGACCCTCTGTGTGTTTGTGTTTTCGGCTCAAGTCGACGGTTTCTGTTGTTTGTGCTGCAAGAAAAACAGTTGCGATGTTTATTCCGTTTTTAATTGAAGTATTTATCCTCTTGTCTGTTCCGTCCTCCAGCTTCGACACCTGGGTAACGACGAGGTCCACATTGTTTGGTCGGAACATAGCAGAGACTACCGGCGAGGGATCATCCCCACGGAGTTTGGAGACGTGCTGATCATCATCTACCCCATGAAGAACCACATGTACTCCATTCATATACTCAAAAAACCTGAGGTAAGAAAAACAGCCTTCAGCATTTCAACACTGGACTCTGCCAGCTGTCATTTCTTTGGGCAATTAACTGTGTTGCAGAATCCTTTATCATTGGCTGAAAATGCCCCTGAAACAGCCAGACATTTAAGTTGATCATTAAATCCCTGCACGATGCTTCAGTCAGACCGATCACAGCAGCTGGGCGAAGGGGCGCGGCTCTGTTGATCGCACAGCTGGAAGGATTTCCAGTAGTTTGGTGAAACTTGGCACAACAGTTCATGGTCCCCAGAAGAGGAGTCCTCTGGAATGTGATGCCCACATTCCCCTTTATGGTGAATTTGGTGATTGTTTATTGGAACAATCTCAAAGGTCATTCAAGAGCTCATTTCGAAACTTTGTTCAAAAACCTTCCACTGATGGTTTCTATAAAGGCCAGCAGTTAGTTATCCTGCGCCGATGCTTCCTTTCCTAATCCATTTAAAATAAAGTTTTCTGGCGATTAACGTCTTACACCCCGAGGCAGATCTCACGCTGCCATGGCCCGGCCTCACAGAGCTGCTTGCACGGCCGCAGACCGTTGTAAAAGCCTCGCTGTGTAACAAACAGAAGAGCAACAATGAGAGACCAAGCACGTCCTCCAAAAGAAAAGGTTTCCAGTCAAATGGCGTCATGTACAACTTTAGCGACAGTGCCATGGGTATTCTAATGGCGTTTGAGCCGTTACACTTTATGGATGCGGATTAGGGCAAAAATAAAACGTTGAAGATGGGTGGTGTTTTGGTGCATTATTGTATGTTTCCTACCAGACAACACAGATATGCCTGCAGATTGACTAACAATCCTAGAGAGAGTCTTTTCCTGAGTCTTGCAGCTCTGGTTAATGTATCAGTCTAAAACACACAGACGTTAAGACCACAGCACTGATAGCGTAATTGCATTTCAAACGAGAACTAACGCAATAAAATGCTGCTTTTTTCTGTATGACATAGATACCACAGCACTAATAACATAACCTCATTTTGCTTCATTCATTCTACAAAGCAAAACTATTGAATTATCATGAACCCAAAAACAAGTTAGATGAGATATTCTGTGTGTTGTTGTCCTGAAAGCACTGTATCCAGTCGTATAGTGCACGGCTTGCAGACCTGCTCCACAGATAAATTCAATAAGAAGCCGCCCCTTATTCTCTTTGGTGGATTCCACAAGCAAAGTATGAAATTAAATTGGACTTAGTAAAACCCCAGTGGCTCCAAGAGATCATTCTGTTTTGGTAAATACATCTAGAGTCGCATGTCTTTTATCGTCTCTCATTGACGCTTAATTCAAAAAAATCAACTGTAAAATTTGAGAGCAAAGTTCCTTCTGTCTGCTTTGATGCCGGTTTCTCAACTTCTCCTCTGTGTTTGTAGGTGCCATTCTTCGGCCCGCTGTTTGACGGTGCCGTAGTGGACATGGACATCTTGCCCACCATGGTCAGAGCCACAGCTATCAACGCCAGTCGAGCCCTCAAATCCCTCATTCCCCTCTACCAGAACTTGTATCCTTTTGAAAGCCGGGCTCAGAATTTGAAGGTCAGTCAGTCGCTCAACTTTTCTTTGCTGGCTGTGCCTCCGTCTCCATGCCAACACCTCACAGTAGGGTCTTTATAAGTGAGTCGTTTGCAGAGTCAGGTGAGCAACTCGGGGCTTGTATATCTTATCGCCATTGTGCCGGCCGCTGAGATCCTCGCACGTCTGCGCGCGAGCGAGAATGTCGCTGCTCGCTCAGCTCGAGTGGTAAGAATAGCAAATCAATGTCCAGCGGTGGATGGCTTTCAGGGTATAAGTGCTACTGTGATAGAGCTGTGTTTAGTCGCCTCTGAAGTGCCGTATATCAAGTGCGTATGCAGCCGTGTGTGCGGGAGCGATCGAGGCACAGACAGGTGTGCGCCCGCGCAGTCGGCCCGCTTGATGCGATGTGATGGTAGTTTCGGTTGGAACCGGCCCCCTGTGGTCGATGCTTATTGATGACTCTCCTCTCTAATGCTGCTTCTAGATGAAGGGGGCTTTGCTCTCTGGTCTCACAAACACACACACACACACACACGTGTCCACGCTTACACACACTCTTCTGTCTCAACAAGCACGGACAGTCGATTACACAGACGTAAGCTCCTCAGAGGCCCACATGCAGATGCGTGCAGTACCGAGTGTACGTTCACACACACACACACACGTGTCCACGCTTACACACACAGGCAGATGCGTGCAGTACCGAGTGTACGTTCCCACACACACACACACACACACACACACCAACCACAGAGAGGTGACCGTGTCCCTGTTGAGGCGAGATGAGCCGCCGGCTGATCATTGAAAGCCATTTGATTCCTGTGTGATGCTCTAGTGTTGTGGTGTCGTTTCTGCTGGTCACATTCAAACACGTCGTGTGCACGAGTACAGTGTAAACCAGACGGGACGGCTTGGAAACAAAAATAATTAAAAGAATCGCTGACATGCCAACACCACACCGGTCTGAGGAGGGTCTTTTCTGCGCGGCATCGGGACGGGAAAAGGCCTTTTTAGAGAGCGCGGAGGTGGTGCGGCTCAAACAACTTGCACGTGGGTTACAAGCCACACGCCACGCAAAAATAAAGCCCCCAGCACACCTGTTAAAGCCCCTTTTTCCCCCTTTTCCCCCCCCCCCCCTCCCTCCCTCGCCGTGTGTCCCTTTACTCCCCTCTTGTCCAACTTTCTCCCGCTCCAACGTGCCATCAGCCCTGAGATTTGGGGCTCCGGGGGGGATTGAAGAAGCCATTAGTTTGGCTCAATGTGGGAGCTAACACCCCCAGACCGTGTGTGTGTGTGTGTGTGTGTGTGTGTGTGTGTGTGTGTGTGTGTGAGATCACACAAACACACGCCCGTTGACAAGTGGGCCGCGTGCGCTTGTTCTGAGGCGTTTGGGTGCGTGTGCCAGTGTTGGTGCGTATTGATTGGCCGCAGCAGCAGGTCGATGTCCCTGACAGGCTGAATTACAGTAATCAGTCATTATTGACTTCCTGTCTACGCACACGCACACGTCTCTCCTCCACCGTCTCTCCAGCCGTGCTCCGCCCTTCTGCTTCTGCCGCTGCGTCACTCTCGCCTCTCTGACTTCTTGCATCTCTGTCCCGTTGTCTGTTTTTCCTCCTCAGGTTTTTCTCCACTTTACTCGTAGTGTCACTCCCGTCACACTCTTCACCAGCAACGCCTGTCAACTTTATGAATGTGGGAGACAACACGTGTCGTTCTCCTTGGAGACACAAGCGTGTGAGACATTTCCCTAAAGAGACACGCATTTAAATATATAAACTAGTTAGGGGAATTGATACATGGTGTCAAAACTCTTAATTACTAACCCTAAATGCTAAATGTTTGTCATCTGGTGCCGGATTCATAAGACAAGATAAAGTTATGCAGGAGTGGTGTAGTGGAGCTGCGACGGCAGCGTGCAGCTTTCAGCTTTTGGTTGTAAGACAGAATGCGAACGTTGCAGGAGGTTAGCGAGGGTCAACGAGGGTTGGACGCCCTCATCAAGCAGTGTTTGTGTGGTTCTGAATGCTGCACAGAGGCAACTATGGGGGGGGAGAGCCTGGCAGTGCTAAGTGTGTCAGTGGTTAACTGGCATTTTTCTCTTCTTTTTCTGTCTATCTCTGTCTGTTTTCCCACTTCCCTCCCTCTGTCTTCCTCCCGGCCCTCGGGGCAGTCCATCTGCCTTCTCTCTCCCTCCCTCTCTCTGATCTTTCATTCACCATGACCACAGCCATCCAGAAGCACACACACACACACACACACACACACGACGCATAGTGCCAGGCCGCTGGGGCAGCTGTGTGTAGGCACAGCTCTATCTCACATATCAGCTCATTGCAGCAAGAAAAGCAGTCCAAGACTCAACAACACACACACACACACACACACACAGACACTCAACAAACAGGGCCTCACAACATTCACAATGCAACACAGCGCACAGCATGTTTTAGCTTGACCGTCTGATGACTCGTAAACATCGTGTCAAACACCGTCCGGTTCCTCCTTCACAACTGCCCTGCCGAACCTTCTGAGTGGAACCGGTGAGCATTGAGGACGCACTGCTGAGGACGCACTGCTGAGGACGCACTGCTGAGGACGCACTGCTGAGGACGCACTGCTGAGGACGCACCGCTGTCCCCACACTCCCTAAAAAGGAAAGCTCACGCTGTGTATTGGGGACAGCGGATGGCAAAGGGCACCGCCCACAGTTGTCTACGCGCTCTTCAAAGCCGCGAGACTCCTTTGACAAAAACTGGAGTTGCTGCTCTAGCGTGTCTGTTTGTGTTACTGTGTGCCGTCAGCTCGCACAGACACAAACTGAGATCCTTACTTCCTTCAAAAATCATACGTGTGTTTATGCTGAAAAGAGTTCTAGTTAGAGTCACAGAAGGGAAGCACTGAGGATGTATTGAGCCTCCTGACCACTTCTGAATTTGGAATCTCTGAGCACAGCAGACAACATAATGAACGCACATCCTCGAAGTGTAATTTTTTTGGTCACCAGGTGCTCGTGAGCAGAGTGTCTGTAGGTCGCTCGCTCACTCACCTGTGAGTTTCCATTGGCTGCTCTGCAGTCTGATAACTAGAGAGCCTGTGAGCGCCGCGTGGGAGCGTCTTCAAGCTTTAGGTGTGTGTGTGTGTGTCTGTGTGTCTGTGGGTTTGTGTGTGTGTAGGGGCAAGCCGGTGCTGTCCTGCATCTGCTCCTGGGTGATTGTGGTTCTGGGGAACAATGTTGGAGAGTCACTAAGCTGCTACACACACACACACACACACACTAGTTCCAGCAAGTGTGTGTGCTTGGACTTTCGAATGTATATCACTCCAGTTACACTTGTGTATTTTGCAGCGTATATGTTGCATGTGTATATATTTCACTCACAGGATTAAAGCTTTAGGGTGTGTGTGTGTGTTTGGGACATCCCCTCTAGTAGTTGATAGGCAGAGATGGCTGCACTGAGACTGGGGTCAGCATATGGCTCAGTGTGATAGCGATGCTGCGTGCGTGTAAGTGTGCATGTGTGTTTCTTTTGCGCATGTGTGTCTCTACCTCGTTTCCCCCCCCACTCTGTTTCCACTGAAATAATGGCAGCTCTGGGCATGTAGCGCTATTATCCCCCATATCCACACACACACACACACACACACACACACCGAGGGCAGCCAAGCGCCCGGCGGCCTCCCCGCCTTCTCTTTGCCAGCCCCCACAATGGAGCCCATTGTCCCACTGAGGCGACAATCGGCTGTGTGCGACGGGGAGCGTGCTGGTCCTCCGCGCGGGGAAGAGGTGAGGTCAGAACCTTACACATTGGAGACATTTCTTTGTCGCTGATGCTGAAATGGGGTCATGTTATCTTCGAACCCCCCCCTCCCCCCTCCCCCTGGTGTGTGACATCGGAAGCTGCCTGTCTTCAGTCTGCAATAATGAGTATGAGACAAATAAGTCACATATTAATTACAGCTGCTGATCCAGGCGCATTGACTGATCACTGATATTCCACTAAAAACATTTGCAATTTTTAATATATTATCTGATAACCGGTACCAAAGCAACATTGGTCTTCTGAGGGGGAACAACACAATGCAGCATATGTGCAGTAGTGAGGCAGGTAGAGTGGTCTAGCACAAAAAAGGAACACAGCTGGATTTACTGGCAGGGGACTTTTTTTAAAGGAACTTTGAAGCCTGTAGATTTCCTTTGGAGAATCTCAGTCAAAGAAAGAACAAAAAAACACTTTCAGTGATGTGGGTTGATCAGTTACACAATGACCAAAATTAACTTTTAACACCCACTTCTTTATGCATGCCGAAGAAGTCTGAGGAAGTTTGGCTCCGCTGGTTGTTTGTGTAGCTAGTGGGCTGCATCAATGCTGTGTAACGCCTTTAAGAGGCGTTTCACGCCTTCAGGCTCGTAGTACTTCAGGCACGTAGTACTCTGGGGATAAGATAATTCCAGGTTGTTTATCGAACAGCCGTCTGGTAGAGATTTAAAATGAAAATGTCCATTTAAAAGTGAAGTACCTTTCTCTATTTTCTCGGTTAATGTGTGCAGCAGTGTTACGCTGTTAACGCATGATAAAATTATTGTCAGAGTTGATGGATAGCTCTGTTAACGTGGTTATAACACATTAACGTGCCCAGCCTATATCTATATACTGTATATATATATTAGATTAGTGGAGAAAGAGAAGTTGTATTTTTGCATGTTGTTGATGTGAAGGATAGAGCTTTGTGTGGAGGAAGAGAAATGTATTTTTATTATTGAAAACAGAACGTTCCATGAGCAGCCATTATGGCAAATTGATAGCAAATCGAAATCACACCCCCAAGCGCTATTTGATGCTTTAAAATACAGTTAGGATTAGGTTAAGGGTCTGTGTATTAGTTTGGGTGAGGAAATGAATATGTGCACAGGGGCGAGGGGGGGTTGTGCTTAATTATTTCCTGAACAGATAGAGGAAATGAAAAGAAAGGGGTGAGGAGGAGG